CACCACAACTAAGGAACAGAAGGAAAGATGGATTTATGTTATCTATGTTTCGTAAGTAGCCGCAGCCGCGACCTGTCTTTGATAGCAACAAACTAGCATTAGTATTAGCTTCACAAGCTTTTCACCAGTACTTACCTGCAGTGTGCATTTATGGATATGCGTGGACCAAAGAGAGGGAGCAAAATACTCAAAACTCTAGTAGTTTAAAATGCTAACTAGGAAAGTAAAGTTCATTCATACTGCACAAATAACATTTTCAAATCAACACCCCTAATCCCATAATATGGCCAGTGAGCGATGTCAAAAAAAAACCCCACCTAGCTCATTGATTATATTCTCTGTTCTTTCACGTCTCTAGATATTAATTTTTCTCTGCACTGTTTGATTTCTTCAGTGTGAGCTGCAGGCTCCTAACGGTGGCTTTATCAGGCTTTCCACAGCTTTTATGACTCATTTTCGCTAATGGTGTACACTGCTGCTCTTAGTTCAGGATAGCTGACGTCGATGCATCTGCTAACCCCTCCATTATCAGTGGCTGTTAAAGTGTTCTCAAGTGGAACATTAACAGCTTCATTGTGTTCTGTTCATGCCGAAAGTCAGCAACACTTTTTTTTTTCACGCTGCTACCTTCAGCAAACATTTTAAACGTCTGTTTTGACCCAAATGTTACACTTACTATTATTCGTACTATTTTATCTTGATAATAATACAGCATTTGTAACTATTTTTCAAAGACTTTGAGGGAAAACTTACTATGAGCACTATAATAACAATATAATATAATAATTAATCAGTTATTGGATAAATAAAACGTTTTTTCGGAAAATGTTGTAATCTTATATGATTCACAGTGTTCATGGAATATGTTTCTATTCTGAAGTGCTGGTTAAAATAAAAAAAGCAACTTGGTAGTGATCTCAAAGGCAACACACGGTAACAATAGGCTCTTAAAAATTGCATTTTCTAGCTCAGATTAGTTATTGATGATGCAAATAATCCCTTGTGTTGTCAGAAAATGTATATATTGCATACATACATCTATAGGATATAAAAGAGTACTGTACGCCAAGTTTACTTATAATGGGTTGGATCCCCTTTTGCTCTCAGAACTGCCTTAACTTTTTATGTTAAAGATGCTCCTCAGGAATTTTGGTCCACGTTGACATGACAACATCACACAATTGCTGCAGATTGGTGATGTGAATCTCCTGTTTCATCACATGCCAAAGGTGGTCCAGTAGGTAGAGATCTGGTAACTGTGGAGGCTGGTGAGTGCAGTGAACTAATGATCACGTTCAAGAAACCAGTTTAAGATGACCTGAGCACGTTATCCTGCTGGAAACAGCCATTAGAAGACGAGTACACTGTGAAAAAGCGATTACTGGGTAACATTACTCAGGCTGAGGGATACAAGTGATGCTCAACAAGTGATGCTCACTTCATTTCTAAGGGGTTCAAGTTCAAGACGATATCCCTAACACCATTAAACCACCAGCAGCTGGAACCATTGATACCACTGATGGATCGATGCTCTCATGTTGTTAATGCCAGATTCTAGCCCTACCATCCAAATGCTGCAGCAGAAACCTAGACTCATCAGACCAGGCAACATTTTTCAACTATTCTATTGTCTAGTTTTTGTGAAGTTGTGTAATTTCTATCCTTGGGTTTTTGCTCTTAGCACGGCACTCGTGTGGGCTTCATCAAGGGTTGCTTTGTCGTGTTGTGTGAGTGTATTTCCAATCTAACCATTCTCTGATCTCTGGCATCAAAAAGGCTTTTTTTACCCAGAGAACTGCCACTCAGTGAGTATTTTCTCTTTTTTAGACTATTCTTTGTAAACCCAGGAGAAGTTTGTGTTGGAAAATCCCAGTAGACCATCAGTTTTCGAAATATTCAGACCTGGCTATTTGGCACCAACAACCATGCCACGTTCGGAGTCACTTAAATCACCTTGCTTCCCCATTCTTAAACTTGAACTTTAGCAGGTCATTCAGGTCATCGTGCCCATGGCTAAATACACAAGGTGTGACTGGTTTATTAGATAGTTGCATTTGTGAGTAGCTCAACATATCTACCTAACAAGTTGGCCATTGAGTTTAGGATTTCTAGGTGATACAGACCGACACAGTTCACTGCATCATAATGTTGTAGTGTGACACCCACGAGGAGCTGGCAATGCCTGGTTAAAGGGGGATATAATCATATGATCAGATCTGTGGTAAAAAACTAAAAAAAAAATGTTTTTTTCATGTTTTTTCTAAATTCATCCTCTCTAAAGACTTGAGCTGTGACTTGAACCATGGTTTTAGAGGATTATTAGTCTCTTAGTAATTTGCCATTTCTAAAATTTCTCCTATTTTCTACATTTGTATAACTTGAATAACAAATTCACAATTATCAGTGCCTTTATAAGCTTCGTTTTCTTTTTTTTCTTTTTGCTTTTTTTTGGTCTCACAGCCAAAAATTAAATATTCAAAACATTAAATGCTTTATTTTTAGAAGGAGTCCCAATTAATCAAATTGTTTGAATAATTTTTCTCAGCAAATCATTTTGGCTCTTTCTTAATGCCAGATTTTCCATTTGAGCTGCATATATCCTGGTAATAAAGACACAGAGAATAAAAAATAGCTCTAAGGACTACATATTTAATGTTTGAATAACTGGAAAATTATACAGTATGCCCTCAGTGCACGTGCAGAACATTGTCCAGTAGATGATTCTGGCTTAATGTAAAAGAAAAATCCAATGTTAAGTGATTGAAGTGGGTTTAATGAAGCGTACGCTGAGTTATCTAAGGTGTGAAAGAAAAGCAGGACCATCATAGAAAAAAAAATTACTAAACCATAATCTCAACCACAAAAGAACATATACAGGATACAGCTAAAGTGCATTATGGAATTTAGTCAGCAGCACTGAAATACATTCACAAAATAAATATACATTTTAAAGTACAATAAATTATGAACTGATGTATTCATTGACCAGTTTGTTGTGTGTAAGTCCATAACGGTCAGCACTCAGAGCCAAACAAAAAGCAGGTTGCCCAGCATCGCATTATTTGTTATCATGTATAGGAAATAAATACTTCCTCCCGTGCTCTACTTGCATACATCTGAAACTACAAAACATATCACTGCTTGGAAGTAAATCAGGGCTGCAGAGTTGTAAAGATTTTCCAAATAAATATGGACCTAAGCAGGTGTTATCATGAAACTAAAATGAAGTGTGAGATTGTTTTACAGCAAAAATACAAACAACAAAGCCAAATATTAATATACAAGCACAAACTCAGGGTTAAGATATAAAGTGACTGAGTCTGGCATCGTTAGTCTGTCAGGCATCAGTCAGCCTGCGTCAGTGTCTTAGTGCAGTACCACATAAAGGGTACTGTTTTTTTAATTTTTTGCTTTTAGATAGCCATCCGTGGTGGCCCCTTTGTTAGAACAGACCGTGCTCGCCTCCTCTTCTTATCGTTTTCTCTACGCCGGCCCAGCCTCACCTTTTTTTTCCTCTTGGTGGCAACTTTAAGTGACTCCTTATAAGCCTGAGCTTTGTTGGTCTCCTGAGGGAGGTTAGGGCCCACTCTGTCCTGCCTGAACCTGTCAGAGAGATCTTTGGTGGCCCCCGAGGGCTTCTGGTGGTTTCCACTGAAGCTTTGGCTCGAGGTTCTGCTTTGCGCAGGTGGAGCACGATCGTCAGCCGTGTGCACCTCCTCCAGCAGCTCGTGTAGCCACATGCGGCGCGTGTACTCATGTATGGTGCGGCCCTTATCATGCATCAGCTGGGCGTGGCCTACTGACCTCTTCCTTACAGCAAAAAAAAAAAGTGCCAAAGTTAGATTAAATTGTATCAAAAACAAAGGTGGTAAAAAAGCCACATGGTGGACTATTAGAAATCCGTTTCAGTCTCTGATATCTCTTAGATTACTGCTGAACATTAATCCCAGAAGAATATATCATTTCCTCTGGGATTAAAAAAGTGTCTGATTCTCAGTCAGTCCCTGATTTAAGAACTTTTTATGTTCCAACTTTGAATTTTATTTGACATCTCAGTGTTAAGTTAATGTACTTTTATAGTTTTAGAAGTGGTTGGCTATTATAAATTTTAAGTCAGGCTTTATGAAACCTCAATACAGTAGGTGGCAGCATAAACAAGTGTGAGAGCTGTCACTAATCTGAGTTTGATATGGACCTAAAACAGAGAAAACATCCCATGCCTTACTTTAAAATATTCAAACTGTAGAAAATCTCGAATATTTTTTTCTTAAATTGCCAGCTTTTCGAGATCTTGCATAGAATTTGTTTATGCGTTTTTTTAAAGGTATCACAAAGGTAACTCACATTCTGCTACTAAGTGCATCAACTGGTCTCCCATCGAGAGTCACCGGAGAGCACAGCAAGAACACAGCCAGACTCCACTGATGAAGCACGACTATAGAGCACATCCCTGAGGCAAACACGTAAGCAACACAATAAATATCATCAGTCTCTCTAATGAGTAATGAATTAATCCTAAACTGTGTCTGTTTTTTCAGTAGAGTTCGTTTCATCTGAAAAATGACACACACAGCCTTTAAACAGTCCTCTAAAAATATAAACATTTAAACTTACTTTGTTTCCAGTGAAAATCCCCCCCAAAAAACCGTAAACTCTTAAGTGTTGATGTTCTTGCAAAAATGATTTCACAAAAAAGATGTGTGAAAATTAATGTGCCAAACACAATTTGGCCCATTCAGAACTTGTGAGCAGATCCATTGGTGTAAATGTAGCCTAGGGAAATCCCCTCCGAGTCGGCTCCATTAATTTGCCTCCCAACAGTGTGTGTTAAGCTATTTATAACTTCCCAGTGTCCGAATAAAAGTGGGATAAAGATAGAAAGAAGAGAAGCCCATCAGCTGCAGAGCCACAACTCTGCTCAGTCCTGCAGTAATCTCATGTGAAGTCGCACTGAAGCATCATCTGCGGTAGTCAGAGCTGCTGAGCCGAGCTGAGAGCTCTGTGTGTGAGCCTGTGTGAGTCCGTGTGAGAACAGGCACTGAGAGAAAGTCAAACTCCTCTTTGGGTGAAGATGCATGCGCTACCTCAGCCCCTACCCATTAAGTCCAGTGCTAACACCCTGCCCAACCTCCCAACCCTCACCTCACTCTCACTCCCCACCAACCCTTCACTCACACCTGCTGTGACATGAACGTGGCACTGATGCAAAGTCCAGTCACGCAACAAACAGCGTACTGAAAAAAAACCCTAATGAATAAACATATATTTAGAGGAATTTCTATGGAATTTCGCCATACTTTCAAAATGCAGTCTACTAGTATTTTTTCATTGGGTGCTCAGAAATGACAGGTGTGCACCAGTGTAGGTAATCACGAGTTACCAAGCAGAGAGTGAATGGTATAAGGGGAGGGGCAGGGTTACTCCAAAGTAAACAGCCAGGCCTAACCACTTTCCCAGGGGAGAATGACCATAACCTCAGAGAAACCCAACCCACAGCCTCTCACTGCAGACCATTCAGTTCACCTCCACTCTGCTTCTGCAAACCAGCTCACCACCGAATGGTTACAGTGGGTTCTGAGGTATCTTTCATATTCAGCTCATAATGAGACTACTGAGGTTTGCATTAAGGCAGCTGTATACAACCTGAGGTTCACTATGCATATTCAGGTGCTGAACCGAGTCTCGAGTGCCTAGTGATTTAATAAATGCACTTGTTAAAGCTTGGCACTCTCACGTAAGAGGTGCCTCTGTGACTAAAAGTGCATGTATTTTTAGTCTCACATTGACAGACAGTGCATCATGTCCCAAGTGTGGAAGTGCATGCAGCAAGAAGGAGTGTCTTTTTTAAATATAATGTATTGCTTATATTT